AAGTAAAACAATGCACAAGTTACTTAACGGTAGGGAGCGAGAGAGAGAGAGTGCGTGCGCACTTCTGTTGTGTGATCTTTGATGTTCACTCACTCAGCACACGCATCATTTGGATTACAACGAAATCATAAAAATAAGACCATTTATAGGGGCATTCACTATAAACATCATTTATTTTCAACCTTAGGCATACACAAATTTTTTGGCGAAAGTGAATCTAGCAGCCTGTGTGCAGAGTCTCTTAGGCGCTAGGCTGTACTATTCTGCATCAGTACAAATACGTGCACGCGTTGCACGTGTTTTGCTTGCTTGAGTGTTTCTGCATTATAAGAGCGGCTTTGGAAAATAAATCGCAGCACGTTTCAGATGAAAAAACGCGACTTCTATTTCTAAAAATATTACTGTTAGATTTATGACGAGTGGTTCCCTGCATTATTACAGCAAAGCGCGTGATTACCGTATACTAAGCCGCTGCAATGGAGCAGCACCAATGCTATTAAACTAAAGATGATGTACCATAGAGCAAAAAAATGAACAGTGAAAGTAACAAAAACTTGTAAAATACATTTGAATGGGCATAATTAAGTGTGAAAGTAACCGAAGGATATAGTCAAACCAAAAATTATTATACCAGATATAATTTTTGATATTTTTTTTACTAGTGGGTGCAGGACACTATAGTTCATTTATGTAAGTGAGTATAGCAAAATAAAGTAAACTGTGACAAATCATACCCAAAAATTCTTCATACAGTGGACTACCAGTAAAATTGATACAAATTTGGGACCAAAAATCTGGGAAGTCTGGGAAAAAAAAATTGAAGTTGAGGTTTGCATGAAGCTGGGTGACAGCATGCCCAGGAGACTACAGGCTGTCATTAAGGCTAAGGGTTGCCCGACTAAGTATTGATAGTTATGTAAATACTGTCATACTAACAGCTGTCTAATTTTTGGTTGATTGTAATCTATTACATACCTTTCTATCAAAGTTATCTAACATTATCAAGCTGAATTTGTTCTGACACAGTTTAACTCTGAGTTCTTGTTATATTTTATTACCATTTTCTAAACTATAGCGAATAAACTGTGATAATGTGAGAAAAAGGTGTCTGAATAAATTTAGTTTTGACTATCTATTTGAAGTTAACCAACTAAAATTATACATACTCTTTTGGTTTCTGTACCCAATATTTAACAAATTTACAAATGCAATAAAAATATTGGTATCGGTACTCAGTATCGGCAAGTACCAAAAATAATTGTGTATTATACTGTTCATGAGCAAAACATCCTCACACATTGTGTGACATGGATTATGTCTAACACATCTCTGATTAACAAGAACTATGACATGAGAAGGCTTGAATGAATTAAATTGATCAATGATTCTTGGCACTGAAGGGCCTGAACAATAAACATGTGCATAATATATTAAAGTCTGGACCTGTAGACCCTCCCACATTGCCACAGCATGTATTACTGATTACAGCCTTGGTTGATGTTTACTGCATTATACACAGTAGGCATATCAAAAGTACCAGTATTTCAGTCAAGTTTATTTGAATGCTTTATATTATTGTTAAATATCTCAGCACCGTTTACGTCATTTACATGTTTTATCTATTTTTATTTTGTTCTACAGCTGGTAGCATTTCTTTGTTCTTAAATGCCATCCACGTGTTTACTTGTCTTGAATAATTGCTCGAGGGAACAATGTTCACTTAAAAAATAGTATTACTTCTGATATGGTATCAAAACCGGTATGCTTCCTGTCCCTTAAGTACTTAGTTTTGACAGTCAAAGTAATTGTGGTGTGTGTGTGGAACGTTAAAAACCATGTATGCTGGCTGAAAACTAAACATTAATAGAGACAATTTATTTATATCATGTAACAAACAAAACAAACAAAAAACAGACAAACTGTAGGCCATCATGTACTCAATGGAACCAAAACAAAACAAAAAAACAAAAAGCAAAACAAAAACACACAACCAAACAAATAAATTCTCCCGGTATTGCTTGCCAGGTTTTCCAACCGAGAAAATCCATCTCACACACTTAGATTTTGGATCAAGGCTGAATTGATCTAGCCTAAATATGAAATAGGAGGAACACTCAAATGGTTTACACTCCTGTTCAACTGCAGTTATTAGAGAGATCAATCAGAAAACACGTCTGATATGGCTTCTTACCGGGTGCAAGATGGTCCCCAGAATGACCTGGTTGGGACAAGACTCCAAAATGATCTGCACATCTCGCTGAAGAAGCCTTGACTCTGTGAAGAACTTTGCCTCTGCTGCAAAGGGTTCAGGGGTCTCGCTGCCATCTGCCTCCCGTTTAAACGTAGGGCACTAGAGACACAGATTTTTCATAAACATTACAGAACATATACATTGTCTGAAATCTACAGGGAAATACTAAAAAACAAACCCCAGAAAACAAATCACAGTCATTCTTTACAAAGAATGTAAACCCTTTCCTGAAAAGCCACTGAGTGAAAACTCTAGTTCGACCACACTTAATTTAGCACAGTTATGAAGTTCATTTTTTCATGATTAGCAAGATTAAGCAGTAAGATGGTCTACTGAATTCACGGAACAGGTCTGGTCTAAGAAAACCTAGAGGGAATCTCTCAAGGCTACCCATCAAGAGATGAACTAATAAGAAACTGAGGAATCCTGAGAAATATTGATCTCGAGGGTTCTGCTGAAAGAAATTGGGTTTCTTTTATTCATAGCGTTACATAGAGAAGGACTGAAACCCACCTTGATTCCAGACAGCATGACTGTCACCAGATAGTAGTCGGGCAGAAGCAGCGCCCGTAGCATGCTGCCATCACGCACATGTTCAATAATGGCTGTGTGAGTGTATAAGACAAAGATAGAAAGAGAGAGTTAATGAAGGACAAAACTTGAAAGTGTAATCTGGTTTCGGCTTCTGTTTCACAAAATTAAAATAACAGTACTAATTCAAAAGGGTTTAGTAACACATTAACGCTTTGAAAAAAAAAATCTCTTTTTGCATTTATTTGATCAAAAATGCAGTAAGAAAATTGGGAAATATTATTACAATTTAAAATAACATTTCTATTTTATTAAATTTTCAAATGCAACTTATTTCTGTGATAGCAAAGCTGAATTTTCAGCAGTCATTACTCCAGTCTTTAGTGTCACAAAAATGTGCTTTGATTGAAAAAAAAAAAAAATTCATTCTAGTACCCTAATTTTGTTATTTTTAAAATATCTAAACAATTTTGTGGAAACTGTGATCTTTTATTTATTTTTTTTACCAGAATTATTTGATGAAGTTCAAAAGAACTGCATTTATGTAAAATAGAAATATTTTGTAACATTATAAATTATTGAACAGTTTAATGCATAAAAATCTCACTGACCCCAAACTTTTGAATGGCAGCGTACAAAATTAAACATCACCACACTGGTGATAGAATGATAAATTACAGCACGATGAACTCTCTCTTCAACTATTGTAATAGTTAAAACTAAGAAATTTCAGCACGTTAATTTGATTCTAACTTTGTTTTGCTAATTCAAATTGTCAGCCCAGAGCCCACTTCACAGAAAGTTCACGTGGTGTCACAGCATGTGGGTAGCTGCCAGTATGTAAACAGGCCTCTCCAGTTCGGCATGGTGCTCACTTTTGAAGAGAACAACAAATAGGCATGTTTAAAAATCACTTGGCATAACAGCACAGTGAGAGCTGTGAAATAATTCGATAAGAAGGTGAATCACAGCCACGCTGGTAAGGGTCATGTGGCCAAGTGTGTTTAAATTCAATATTACGAACAATGTCGCAACTTTGACTCCTGATTAGCATCTAATAAGCTTATTAGCAAAGAGGGGAAACGGGGCACATTCTATAGCATTTAATGACTCAGTTGTTCATTTGCAGTGAGCTGGCTAGCCCTCTGATGGAGGTTAACTCTCATCAGGGTTAGTATTCAGTTTAAATAGGAGAAATGAGCTGTGTGCAGAGCTGTGAACAGAAAAAAATGGGCATCTGGAAGAAGAGTGAGACAGTACACCAGAGAGAATTGAGTGCTTTAATGAGTGCAATTTAAGCTTTTGTCTGAAGAAAATGCACAACATCATTTTAGGGTGTTCTGGGTGTAAAGAAAACACCCTGCAAAATTCCCTTAAGTCTTTATGATATTGTGGTCCCTAAATATGGCTCCAGTACCTCCGGTGTGACTCACACCAGTTTTTTCTTTTTGTTTGTTTTTTGTTTTTATTTTTTATTTTTATTCCATTTTATTGTCCACTAGGTATAATTATTACATAAAAAAATAAGCATCACTATTTTAAAAATTCATATTAAATATTTTATGATATTTTAAAATATTAGATTAAATAAGTTGGTAATTTATGTTTAATATGATCAACAATGATTAAATTCACAATATTTATGTTTATCAAAAAAAATAATATTAACATTTATTTAACTAATATTTAATTGCCTTTATAAGAAAAAATAAAACATTATGTGTTTTTCCCAGCATTGGTGTGTACTGGCCCTCAAGAATACAATATGTGATCTACAAAGTTTATCACATCTTACCGTTGACTGGTTTCTGGTGGAGGGAGTCCACAAAATTGCGAGGGTTCTCGATGGTATACTTCAGATCTCGAATAGTGTGTGAGCCTCCACCCTCAGACCACTGACCCTTTTTAGCAGCCTTGGCTTGGTCCTCCAAATCACACAGTCTAACCTGATCAGGACTGAAACACACAGAAAGTCCAGTAAATATCAAATTACAGACCAAAGAGTTTACCACAAGAACAAAGCAAAAACAAGACAAGATCATTTTAGCCCTCCTTTCTTTCCTCTCCAGACTTCAATGCACCGAGCAACAGATGTAGAGGTCTCTCACGGAGAGCTACCCCTTTCTGAGGCCTTGATAAGCTCTTCAAATGAGTTTGTTGATTATCAAAAGCCAACACGTTTCGATTAATTCCTCTGTTGTTCTAAAAGCCACCATTATCTTTAAGGGGAATTAAACAGTCTGACCACGGCATACACTCGTCAGATTTTTTAATAAGGCTCTATCAATTTAAGTAGCGCTGGCCTTAATAATGAACAGACTTAAAGAGGCGAGACAGACAGACAGAATCAACGAGAGAGAGAGAGATGAATCAGAATCTATGATGAAAACTTGTGGGTGGTGAAAGTCCATTAATTAAAGACCCAGTCTGACCAGCGACTTGGTCAATGATATATCAGCCCTTCCTTTAATGTCTTGGCTCGGACAACAAACAAAATTCTAGAATTAAATTATGAATTATAGGAGTTTTGATGGTGCGATGGCAGCGATTGAATATTAAAACATACAATGATAATTTAATTTACAATTTATTCATGTCTCACTGAAACCAGATGAAAAGACAAGATTGAAAGTGTCTTTTAGATATATCAGATCTAATGTGGACTAGCACGCATTCTGAATTTCTAATTGGTGTTTCTCTATACTTAAATTATTTTAATATATTTAAGCTTTGAATTTTGCTAAAAAAAACTATATACACAAGATATGAACACCCAATGCTGTCACTCTGCACACCTTTGGGAAAGAACGTGGATCTTTAGCTTAAAAAAATAAAATAAAATACACCTTTCACAAGCCCAGAGTTTTGACATTGCTTAAAGTCTGGTCGGCAATGCATTATGGCCACAAACTGATAGGAAGAGGGTTATTTTAGTTTTATTTACATAGTGTTATAGTATTTATTAATATTTTGAATTGGCTTTTATTTATATATTTTTAGGTTTCGTTGTAATTAAGTTTCAGTAATTTTGGTTTGTCATTTTTATTAGTTTTTTTTTCTCTTTAGTTTTAATTTATTTTTATTGCAGTTTTAGTATTTAAACTTATTTTCTTTCAATTAGTTGCCAAGGCAACGTTTATTATTACTGTATTTTTTAAGTTAAAATTTTTCCATATAATATTTATATTTTAGCTTTATTTCATTTGATGTAAAATGATTTTTTTTTGCAGTTTTAGCTAACAGTAACACTAGATAGACCTTCTGAGTGGCCAACCACAGTTTGCTTGGATTTTATACAAAATTTGAAATCAATAACATCTAATCTCAGTGGGCGGTTGTACAGAAACCACTATAAACAATGGAAAATGTATGCGAGTATCTAGTGTACTTGCTTTGTGCTTGAAAACAAAACTCTGAATGCATTTTAAAAATTAAAAGCCACTAACCCAGCAATTTTTAAAAATAACTGACGTGTTATTAATCTGATCATTTCTAACAGTCCACCTAATTCCTTTCAAACATGATTTTGTTTCCAGGTGGACTGATTAAAAAAAAAAATTTAAAAAAAAAACGGTACACATCAAGTCCCAGAAGTTGCATTACGGTCGGGCAACTTCACGGACCCTTGTGAAAATGTCTTATGTGCAATATTCATCAGATGGTCAGTAAACAGACTGCAGGCGGCTCAAGGGAGACTAGGACACCGCCACGTCTAATGGACACAAACACAAAGCTCAAAATATTCAAACCAGCCATCTGGGTTCATCGGCCGTCTTTTTCCGATATGCAAGATGACGAGACACAGGACAGCTGTTAATAACCGACTCTTACTTAAAAAAATCACTCATGTAGTAACCGGCGAGGCTGGTAAAGCAAATGTCAAAGAAAAGTCGCCTTCTGCCTATTAAATGACAAGCCCAAAGCTCCAATTATCTAAGCCTTCATAAATTTTAACTACAGGAAATAAGGGGCTGCCAAATCTCAGCAGCCATCTTGAGCTGTCTTTGTCTAGTAAAGTTTTATTTTCCTTCATCTTTTCAAAAGACAGAGCGAGAGCGTGTCAGGGATAGGAGTGGGCATCCTTCCCAGCTCGGCTGTGCCTAATTGAGAGCTGGTGGGCAGAGCGTGGCCCAGGTTTAAACACGACTCCTTTGGAGATTATGATAGCTGATCCAGTGAGCTGTGATGGGCCACAGCAGGCCCGGCTAATGAGAAGGCTGTTCAGGGGCTGTGGAGAGAACAGTGGGTCTAACACCACCGTCTCCTGTGGGGAAAATGAGCCTAAAGCAAACCGATTCCACTGGCAATTGTTCAGGGCCATTTCACAGAGCGGCCCGCATACGCATCATTAAGTCCCAAAAGCTTAGGACAATATTACTTCGCTTCTAGCCAGAGGGAGAAGGGTGGATAGACAGGACGTGTAATGAGATGATGTGGCCAGAAGAGGGAGTGAGAGATCAAACAGAGAAATATGAAAAGCAATAAAGCCAAAGAATGTCTAAAGTAACTTCAGTAAAGGCAAACACTGCCCCCTGTAGGACAAATAATGTGTTTTTACAATAAAACCACTGTGACAACACAAATGATCTCAGCCAAGGAGAAAAACATAGCCGGCATTGTGAAGGCTTTGACAATAGGTGCAAGAACCGTACTGCCACCAGTGGTTTGACGCTTGGGGAAAAGAAGAACCCCCCCCCCCCGGGTTCTTACTTGTTTCCTCTGATGCCTTCTCTGCGAACTGTGGCAAGACCTTCGGCCACCAGGGACTCTGCGATATTTTCTCCTGAGGTGTCTTTGGAGAGATCAAGTGTGTTACTATAACAACACTACAATAAACACACATTTCAGATCAGCACTGTCGCAGTGAGATTCTTTTTGGTGAACATATACTTCACTCACCTTTTCCCAGGAAGACAATGCCGTATTCCCTGCCTTGAGGGGTTTTATTCTCCACGGTGAAGTAGACTTCTTTGCCGATTACTTTCTTGCGCAAAAACTCTCGTGCCTGGAAAGCCCATGGCTGCAAAGAACACACACACACACAGCTATTTACAGCCATTCAGAGCCATTCAGCACTGGAGGATGTGCATTAGCTACTAAAAAGAGACTGTATTCACTCAAGAGAGAATGAAAATGCCCCCAAAAAAAGTGTATAAATCACTTGCAAAAAAAAAGTGATGAACTCAAGATTTAGAAACAAAATGGATTTTGTTTTGGAATATATTTTCAAATGTAATTTACTTATGTACTCTCAAAAAAACGACAGTTCTTTAAAGGTTCTTTACATGTAGTAAGAGTTCCAATTAGAACCATATATTTTATGCTCTGAGTTAGCTTTGTCCTGTTCGTGTCCCACAGCCCTCTCAAAGCTGATGAAACATTTATGTTTTTGGAAAAACATAATTAAACTTGACTTAGAGAATACATTTCTATTGCTTTCCATGTTTAAGGACTTTGTATTATTTCAGTTTTAATGCACTTTTACAGTTTGAACACATTAAAAGCATAATTTGCAAATTGTGTGTATATACTGCACAAATCATTTTTTAAATAAAAGACACAGTGGCCTCAACTTCCATTTAATATAAATTTCCCAGGAAACTGTGATTTTCATTTATTTATTTATTTTGTTTTTGGTGCTCTTGAACTCAGTGGATGGAATTCCTGCTTTATTTGCATTAAAATAGTTAACATTAGAATTTCGAATATTCGTCGAATTAAAAAAAAAAAAAAAAAAACACATTTAAGGTCTGCGTCAGCCGTCAAGCAGCGTTATCAGTGGCGCACGAGATGCGATGACGATGTATGTGTCATTGATTGCATTTGAATGCTTTTGTTAGCCTATCCAGTTGAACCCACTAGATGTGGAGCTGCTACGTTGTTCATTCATATATTGCGGCAAACGAGAGCATCAGCGTTGTTTATGTCAAAACTGAAACCAAGCCATTCACACAGAACGCATATTTATCACATGTTCTAGAGGGACATCTATGAGCGTTGCACTCGCGTCTCGCAGAGAGCGGCATGTTTAGAAAGCCATGTAAAATTAACGTAAGTTCAACTTTTAAAAAGCATGTCTAAAGACGTTATGGCGTTTTTTTCCCCATCCCACTGTATCTCATGTTTTTAAATGAAGTAGCCTACTCATTGTGATTGGTTTTCGGTCCTTTGTATTAAACTATGCATACATGCATGGTGCTGGTTTTTTTTCTAATTGTTTAAGCAACGTTATTAATTATATATGGTTTATTAACATTATTTTAAACATTATGCACTTTTTTTTCAAAGATGTTATTTTATTACGCTTTGAAGAAACGTGCATAATATTTTGCTCGATGCGCCCTCTTGTGGCCTCAGGAGAGAAGCCAAAAGCTTTTTTCCCCCTAACTGAAATTATGCCTTTTAAAATTCGAAAATAATCAAAATGATATAAGTAGAAAATTCTAATTATATAAGTAGAAAATTCGAATTTAGTTTTTCAGTCATTTTGACAGCCCTAGTTAACAAGAAAGAAAGAACGAAAGAGACTTTGAATCGACATGTAAAAAAAATAAATAAATAAAATAAAAAAAGTTCAAGGGCCAGAGAGAGCAGCTCTGTGCAGAGTTGATGTTTACCTCATCTGGTGTGTCCTTGGTGTCTGGTTGACCCTGAACTGCACGACGGGCGAGAGCTCCGGCTCGGATGTTACTCAGGTTGATCTGTCGTTCTGGAGGGGGTCCTCCTCGCGGCTGACCCCTAACGATGACAGCACAACCAGACAAGACCTGCAAGGGAAAACAAATCAGTGTGAGTGCTTATATAATGTTTCATAAATAGCATATCATTCCAGTCATGTCAATAATGATGAGAGTTGTAAGAGTACTGGCATAGGCAATGCATGATACAAACAATCAATCTGCAAGTCAAACACTGAATGCCTGAGGGATCTGCTCGAGGCCATAATTCCTTTAGGACCTGCTTGTTTGTGTTTGGCCAACAGTTTAACAACAACTATTACACCCACTAACCAAAGATAACATCAGTGAAACAGTCACTACTGTGTTAATCACAGCATGACGCCTCAGCTTTAGCAGCCCTAAACAAAAACAGCTTAAAACACTCAGGGCAGGGAGCCCTTGCCCCTCTGAGATCAATGATTATGTGTATTCACATTAGCATTTGAATCAGTGCTTGTTCTCTGAGATGTTTTACAGAACGAATGTTTACAAGTCTCATCATGCTTGTTTTTTGCCTTAACAAACAGCTTTTACAGATATCTAGGAGTGGCTTATCCAATCAAATGTCAGATCACTTGCCGTTCCTCCAAACTCCTGAGACGCATCTGTACCATTACGAAATGATTACATTAACTGATTGAATGATAACTTCGATTATGTGTCCATTTTAGTCATATAAACCTAATTTATGAATAAATGTCTGCTTCAGTCCTGTTTGAAAATATTTTTATTCAAACGCAAAGCCACATGTCACAAACACTAATTGTTATCAGTGTTATGATTGTGAAAACTTTACCTAAACTTATTAAATGTCTGATAAAACAAGAAAGTGGAGGCCAAACAGGGAAGAGTTAATTATTTCCTTTAGAAAGGCCTTGAGAGCAGAAGGCCTGCCTAATTACTGACTGTATGAAAGAATATACAGACCTCCGTCACCACAGTCTGGGGCGGAAAATATCCATGAATTTCCCAAATCCACCACGCTTTGATTTAACAAGGAGTTGAGCAAGACTGGGAAGTACTCTGCTCATTTTAAACAGTGAAATTATATGTTTAGGCTAAATCAAAGCTATATGAGACAGGCCATGACATTTTTATTTTCATTTACATAACTTACAATGGGAACCATTTCAACCAAGTGTCAGAAACTTAGTTTTATTAGGGGGATATCTTAGCCCCATGGAACTGATAATATTGACTGAATCAATTATCTGCCATTCTTAATGATGGATTCTATCTATAAAATCAATATTTAAAAAATCGTCAAATACATAAGGTATCTCCTTCAAACTAGCGAAAAGAGCTTTTTGCTATTACGTATAGCTTATTTTATTGTTTTGGCTAACAATAAGCTAGAATGTTTTTAATGTAATAACAGTGATGGCATTTTGGCGGAAACTATGGTTACCAGGATACATTAAGCGGCCGTTTTATAATAATAACAGCTGAAAATATTAAAATAAAAAATGAATATAACTCATAATTGAGTTTAATAACGTCTGTACCGGTTTGTTTTCATTTAGCGTTTACGTCCAGACTCTCTCGCGTTACTGTCCTGAGTTTCTCCATATACAGTTCTTAGTTGGCTAAAGCCCTACGTGTCGGTTTCTCATATCTGCTCCCCCTTCACTCACCAGAGCAGACAAAGTAAACAGTCCAAAACTGCGGCGCCTTGCCTGGTTAGGGCCAGGGGGCCTGAGGAAGCTGGCCGCTCATTGAGTCTTACAGCAACACAGAAACACTGTAACACGCGAGCGCCAGCATAAAACTGCGCTCGAGCGGTTCCTCCAGCGCACACACGAGACCTCACACGTCAGAACACACCTGAACTTTGAACTCAAGTTCAAACACAAAACAATAGTAACACACCATTCGTGTAGGTCATTCCAGACTATGACTTTGACAGACTGCACTTGATTAGTGAGTGAGCAGGTGTTTATGAACGAAAGTTATTCATTCGTTCTCTCATTCACTGCAGGGACCCATATTTTCTTCAACTTTATTCAATGCATTCAAAACCTGAGGAAGGAACTGAGAACTATGAATGTGTAAAAATGACTTTTGACCGCAAGCAATTAACTCTCTCACACACACACACACACACACACTTGTATACTGATAAATGTCAAGCTAACAGGATGCAGGGGAAAAAAACAGACCTGTTTTTTTGTCATTTGTAACAAACACTTTGCAACGCTCTAAACGAATCAATTGAGCAAGTGAATGATTCAATAAACGCTCTCATATAATAACGCACAAAACCCTCATGAGCCGCCACCTACTGGCGTAAAGACTGCAACCTGACGGTCTCAGAGAATGAATCTTTTGGTGAACCGATTCAAAAGTTTCGAATCACTAGCTTGAATTGATATCCCTCCATTTAACCGCTAATTCAACCCACAAATCTGCGGTTTGCCCTAGCTTTTTAGTTTAAATCAGTGTAGAACAAACTCTAGAACTGTTTAAAAAGCTCAGCTTTGATAAAAGACAGGGTTTAACAAACGATCAGAGTTTGTTCTGAAATATGTGCCTCTTTACAAATATTGAGTAGTAGCTGCAAAATATTTAGACTCAGCGACTGGTATATAATAATGTTTGGCATCATTTACAACAGCAAATGAAAGACGACAAAAGTTGAAGGAAACTTTGACTATAATGTTGCATAACTGGCCATCTGGATCACAGCTGAAGACCGCTCAACTTCTCTCAATCTCTGCTGCTCGTGGAAACAAGTGAAAGACTCGCCAAAAGTCAAAAGGACTGAAGGAAAAGCAATAAGCTGCGTGATGCATGCCTGACATAAAAGATCTGAACTTTTGAAGTCTTCGCAGTCACTTCTTCCCCCGTGAGCATTAGTGAGTTAGCCAGCACCCCCAGACCAATACTTGTGTCCCGTGTGCTCTCCTACCATCTTCACTATTCCCCTCTGCAGCTGCGGAGCTGAAGCTGGGTTGGACTGAACTTGTGCCGTTACTGCAGATGCCATGTCCGCTGGGCTGAATGAGTATTCCGTTAGGGAGGGAAGAGAGAGAGGTAAAGGAACCGGGAGAATCCTACGAGACGCCTCTACTGTGAGCCGAGGAAGGGAAGAGCGACCGAGCACGACTGATCACGCTTTTGCTTAACCGGAAGCACAGCGTGAGGATGTACACGTCGATATGTTGCACTTCCTCGGTCACCGCGTCACACTCGTGCGCTGAATGGGCGATGCTTGTGACGCCAGAAAGCGAGTGATGACATCCGGTAAGTGGGGAGGTGCGACACGTCAGCACAGATTTGAAAAAAGTGTGTGCACGAATACAACACACCCCCTTAAATGTCTAAGATTTTTAATTAATTTAAATTCATTTGGGTTCTTTTTCCCACTTGGCCACTGTTTCATTCATACTTATTTTCTTTAGAGGCTATAACTTGGTGCATAAGACTTTAATTTAGCTATTTAGAATTAGCTATCTATCTATCTATCTATCTATCTATCTATCTATCTATCTATCTATCTATCTATC